ACTGAACATACCGTCTACTCACCTTGCTTACTGTAAGGATGCTCTTGGACATAAGACATCCTGTCCATCTGAAATGATGACTTAGGAAGTGGAAAGCCCTAAGGGGGAAATCAGATCTTTGAAGTTCAGCTGGGATAGCTTCTGGGTGCCTCTTCGAGAGCCACAGGGCCTGGAGAAACACAGGGCTGGCCCTCCTGGGCATTCTTGTATTGACGCATACCCAGCGTACCTGCGCAAAGGAAGAAGCTGAACTACAACACAAAGGCATTTTTCAGCTGGAGGGCATGTTCTCAAAGCAGCAAAACATCTTTGTTATGAATGTAACATATGTGATAGTCTCCCTCTGTTTGGCAGGAGATAAGAAAAACAGAAGCAAGGCAAAATGAAAACAAAATGGAGCATATAGGCATCGTGAAACAATTACAGTGCTGTGTCTCATTAGTATCTAAATTTGGGATTGCCAATCTTGTTTTAAAAACAGTTTTGTTCAACACTCAGTGACAGCATTTAAAAGCTGACATATCTTGCTGTATTGCAGGCCATGGCCACAGCTGGTGTAAATCAGTATAAACTAATGAAGTCAATGGAGCTTCTCTGATTTACACTAGCTGAGGTTATGGCTCAATAAGGATAGGCTTGCTTTCTAGGAGTGTTCAAGGAAGCCAACTCCTGTGTGTCCTGTGATGAAGTGGTTATTTATAATGGCCTTCAGTGTGGTTGGGAGCCAAATTTCCACATCAAAAGTAGCTTTATAAGAGATATCCTTACAGTGAGGTTCAGTGCAAAATCATGACTTCAGAAGCCAGCTTTCCTCATGCTCTCAAGTGTTTGATTTCAGCCTGAAAACCATCTGAGAAGCCAAGAAAAGCACAGCCATTCCTGCCTACTTCCCCAGCTCTGCTTCATCTTTGAGTCGCCTGCATATCCAACAGGCCCCGACCTACACTGCCCATTTATCAAAGTGAGTTACTCTAAGTGTCTGTTTATTTATGTTCAGAAATTCCCAGTAAGACCGACAAGTTTCATGCTTAACCTGAAAAATTGGGGATGGAGGTGGAGTTGTTACCAGTTCCAGAGCTATTTATTTGAGTTGGCCACTAGTACAAGTAAAACACAATAACGTGTCCCTGAGTCACAGCGAGAGGTGGAGGTCACAAGAAAACAGATCATGTCTTTCACAACTCTTCTGCTCCAGTGAGCCGAGTAATGACTCCTACCATTTACTCACTGGATTCACCACCCTGTGCACAGACTCTAAGCATCAAAAAGCAGCAGGTCTCCGCTTCAAACAACTGACAGGCTAAGCAAGAGAGCGAAATCTGTCCCGAAGCTACACTGACCTCCTCCTCCACTTTTTATCTGAAAGGTCAGATGGTCTCACAACTCTCATCTGACTTCTGCCATCTTCTGCTCACCAGACTGCCGTGCCTGCAGTCCTGTGCCTCCGTGCTTTGGCACTCTCCTCCGCTGCATTAAACTGTCAGGACATCATGGCAAGAATGTTCCCGATGCAGCCAAACCTGTCCTCCGGGCCCAGGCCGCTGCTTTGACTGCAGTTCAAAGTAGTCCTTTGCAGAAGCATACTGGCTCTGCTCCCGGCACATCTAGCCTTGATGTGCTCTATCACGTGCCCGGACAACTCCGCAGGCTCTTTCACTGACCTTGTCACTTGGACACGGGCTGTCTTCCCTAGAACTTCTTGCTAGAACAGGGTCTCTGGAGTCTAGTTGTTGACATCCCAAACCAGGGCTGAAGCCTCTCCAAACCTCCCAGGTGGTTTCTATACATCCTCTCTAGAGTGTCCCTCTCTCCCATATTCTCTTCAGTGGGATTAATCCTCTACAGGCTCACAGGGGCCAAGGAGAAAACCCTGTGTGAATGCTTTGAAAATTGGGATCTTCCAAGCCAGAAAAATCAACACTGTAGGCTGAATATGAAACCTCAGTACACAAAGCCTCACATCTTATCCTCTTGGGAGATACCGCTTTCCCCTACAAAGTCCAGGATCCTCCTCTTCCAGACTCTCAGGTTTTGCTTTTGGTCTCTTCTCTCTCCACAAAAGATGTGATCATTAAGAGTTGCAATCTCCTTTCCCAGGGAATACTCCTGGTCTACCTGCGGGGGGGGGTAGGGAACAACATTCTCCCAGGGAATACTCCTGGTCTACCTGCGGGGGGGGTTAGGGAACAACATTCAGTTTCTGTTCTGTTACCAGCCTCCCAAATGGGTTGTTTTTTCTGGGCACCCAGCACACCAGTGAAGTGCTTTCTGGGTAGATACATATCACTCCATGTTCCTCCCTTATTAGAACTTCTACACTGACATTTTTTCTTGGTATCTATGGCAGTGTATGAGCCAAGGTGAAGTCAGAGAGTAATTTCATCACAGTTAAAACCATCGAGACACTGTGTTTGCTATTTGACATACAGATAGGCAGATAAACTAAAGCATCAGAAATGCAAAACACACCCTCTGTTCCCCCATTACTTCTACACCTTGACTTGAGGACTGTGATTTTTTGCTCCTAAGAGTTTTTATATTCACTTGTTACTTTGGAGGCAAATACTGTATTTTTCTACTTAACATACCACCAACAAAGACCTATTATTTTCTCCTTTTATATGGCTTATACTCTCTTCAAACACCCTCACAAACTGCAGCAAGATCTACCACCACCACCAATGTGTGCTACACTTTCTCCAGGTGAAGGAACCATGAGGTAGAGTTACACTTACACTGGATGTTGTTCAGCTTTTAAAATGATTGAGGACACTCACAAGTCTTCTTGCTTTCTAACCCTAGATCAAAACCTACTTCCTGCCTTTGTTTAATAACTTCCAGAAGCAGTGAGTTTGGCTGTCTCAAAATCAAAGGAAATTCTCTTCACTGTGGAATATTTTAAAAACAGAAGTCTACAAGGCAAAATAATTCTGTTTCTGGTAACGCCATTCCACAGCCTTTCAGCGTTTGGCTCAAGCTGTGCTTTTTAATGCACGCCTGTTCTTACTCGGGTTGAACTGGAAGGCAGTCTGACAATTCTCAGATAATGAGCAAGAAAAAAACAACGTAAACCCATTATCCCAGAGGAATTAGAAATAGTTAATTACGCACAAGTAACAAAGCTGGTTTCCTCACCATCAGAATTTATCCTAGACTATAGAGTACAGAACTTTCCTTCAATCCAGTTGGGGCAAAGACAGGAAACTGCATCTTCTAAACTTTAGAAATAGATCTTAAACATGTAAACATAAGATATTATGCCCCTATCTTTTAAGTAACATTTATATTATCTAAAATAAACAGTCTTTCTGAAGTTAGTCTGTAATTGACATCTGACACAGTCCACATTGCAACAGATATGATAAGTGCAGTAAACAGCAGAAATTATGCTTCTCTATGCTCTGAGAAACATTCATATTTCCTTACACAGATAAACTTTATTTTGTTGCTACGCAACCCTCACACAACACACTACATTCTGCAGTAAATAAGAGTACAAATTTTACAACTGAAGGGCAAGCATGTGGCCTTTTGGGTTTTCTCCCCATTTTGAGTTCCAGCCCCAGCTTTAGTTCACATTGTAATATTCCATCATTTTATTGCAAAGCTGCCTCTAAAGCTCAGTAAGGGATATTTCAGACAGGGCAAAAAGGGAGAGTCAGAACACACGAGTCCTTCGACGCTGATGGGAGACAAATGGTGGAATCAGTGATGTCAGTGACAATGGAACAGTGCGATCAAAGCTTGCTTTTTTCTTTTTCCCCCCTTAATCCTTCTTAAAAATGAGCACAAAATTTCCACAACAAGATTTTCAAAACATTTCTGCAGTGGCCTCTCCCTGCTCCCAGTAGCATTGCTATACCTGTAACAGAAGTGAGACAGACCAAGAGCTGCCCTTGGCTTTACCCAAGAGGAGATTAGTAGAGCCTTTCCCAAAGTGAGCAGGCAGAGGAGGTAAGGTCACGTTGCCATGTGGAGCTATTCCTTTGTTCTTCACGGTTGCAAAACTTCTGAATTCAGTGGGCACGTGGATTATTCAGAGAACAGAGGAGCAAACCCTGCATGTGCCTCTATCCTCAGCAGCAGCAGGGTGAGTACGCTAAGACTTATCTGTCTGAAGGGTGCTCATGGAAACTGAGTAAGGCCACTAGGATCTTCTCAAATCACAGGTTAATACCTCAGTTATTCAAGCTTCTCTTTTTCCTATGGCTGCAAACCCTTCTAACTCTCCCAGGTGGTACCAGCCTTCACTTGCCACCGTCAGCGAATCCAAGTGAAAAACGTGACTCCGGGCTCCGGCTGGGTACAGTCGGCACACTTCGGCAAAGGCAATAGGGTTGTGAGGATTTGCACCAGCCAAGGACCTGACCTATCCCTGACGCACATACACAACGGTTGTCTGATTGCGATGCTTTTGTGTCACTTGAACAGCAGAATTTCCCCAATTTCACTCTGCTGTTCAGCTCTTCACAACTGAGAGTCCCCTGAACTGCTCCAGCCGGCATGCTGCAAGCCCACATGCTTATAAAGTAACAGCACAGTCGTTAGGGAAACGACACCCTGTTCGTAAGAAAGCAGTTGTTCATCTCTACCATCTACAGCGCAGTTCCTCTAAACAGTCAGCAAGAAGTATCTTTTACATTTTAAATTTCTGCATTTTGATAGCTGTTTGCTATCAGAACTTTTCTGTTTATAGTTTCATTTTAACAGCTAAGCTGCTTTCAGGCATATTACCATTTGTTGTAAAACCTCTCCAAGTTTCTGTGTTGGTCTTGTGTAAAGGCCCACCTCTAATCACAAATCCCAGTACAGCAGCTTTCCGTAAGAGCCCAGGGGGATACGGAACCACCTGTAAAATTCGCTTCAAGTACCCTCTTCAACAAGTGGTGCCCTAAAGACCAACCCTTCTCCAGATTGCGGGATGAGGCCCAAAGAGCGAATTTTGTCTGGCAGCACGCTTTCTGTACAACAGGCACCACACGAGGCAATAGTCTTCAGACCTAAATCCTGGAGAACAATACTTGTTGTCTTCGTACCAGCGTCCTGCCAATATCTTCTACTCCCTGGCATCCTGGAGGAGAAGTTACATGTCAGTTGAACGCCCCGCTTTGCTCTGCTACTCTAAGCCTTTTCTTTTTCTATCCCATAGATTTCTTTTTCTATCCCATAGAAATCTACACTGTCAGATGAAATCCAGCCTTTACCAAGGATTTGCCGCTACTTTTCTACAGATTTATTGCTCTCCTTGTGAAGAACATTTTTACTCAACCTACTGAGTTGTCCAGCTATAAAACAGGGATAACAACGAATCTTTTTCCCATCTCTCCATAGCCTAATCTGTTTATACTGCAAACATTCACATCTCCCTTCTACAGGTTACAATAGCGTCTTGCCCAGGGCAAATGAGAGCTATGAGGAAATGTGAGTCAGAGGTGGTTATTACTGAAGGGAAATGTTGATGTCTCACCTGCCAGAGCCATTGCCAGGCGAAATTCTTCCTTCAGCATCTGGAGAACTTCTTTTGCTCCTTCTTCACCCTGGGAGATTAGGAGGCAATATGTACTATTACGTGTACATATAGCTCGTATGTGTAGATGCAGACACGTATACATTTGCCAACAAAATTTTATGCACAACCATAACTCTCGAGTACTTGTCATAGCAAATTTTAGATCAGATGGCCTGGGTACACACAGACACACTCAGAAACCATCACACACACACACACACCCCCATGTGTGCACACATACATGCATACACTAAGACCAAAGAGCGAGTCTAGGTATCTAAAAACCAGAAAATTGAGCTTTTATCTAACTTACTTGGTAAACCAAGCCCCAGATGAGAGGTCTTCCGATGAATACAGCTTTGGCACCAAGAGCTAATGCTTTGAGAACGTCTGTGCCTTTTCTTACACCACCGTCTAGGAACACCTCCACCTTCCCCTCCACAGCCTCAACGATTTCAGGCAAGACATCGATCTGAAAGAGTGAAACCAGGAATACAGCTTGCTGCTTCTGGAACCCTATTCATTCTTTAATTAATTTTTTCGAACTTCAGAGTTGGCTGAAAAATGTTAATGAATGCTTTTTTTTTTTTTCTTTTTTTGAAATGCATCTTCATTACAGGAATAACTGTGGAGGAAACAACTTCATATAACACAAAAATTCACTTTCCTCTGAGTTTTGAACAAGGTGGGAAATGCCTTCTTTTAGTGGACGTACATGTTACTTTCACCAAACTCTACTTATCCCTTTCACCAGTGACAAAGGTAAAGGGAGAAGAGGATTTTTACTGTTCTAAGCTACAAGTTCCTCGGTTACAACCAGGGAGTTAAGTAACATGTCCACATCATACGAGAGGTCCCAACGAAGAGATGAATTCAAGTTTCAAGCATTAGTTACAGGGCAACCATTCCTGTAATTTCTAAATAGTTCCTATTCATGAAAATCAGGAAAGATGCAAAACTGGAAGCCAAGTACTGAGGAGACTGGAAACTGTGTGGTAGTAAGACAAAAGGCCCACAAATTCCTATCTTTCAAATACGGATGTAATTCATTTCCTTTCTAATGGATAAAAAATGACTAGGAGATGAGAGGAAAAAAACTTGAAAGTGCAGTTTGCTTTTAGATTTGGACTAAAATTTTCTTGAAGTTTGGCACTTCTTGTGATTTTTTTCCCCTCCCTTTGGTTTTGCTCTCTTGCCAAACATATTTTGGACCTGTTTCCATATACAGAGACCGCTTTCTACATCCTGACAAACTGTACCAACAGTGAAGTGCTATAATAACTGAAGTATGATGCAAACCATAATTAAAACATAGATTTACTCCCTGTGTAACCAGACACTAGAAATATTAACCAGCTTGGGTTCAGCTCACGTTCTGCAAACCTATGAAATTAAAGCAAATGATTATGTTTCTCAAACAGAAACGTTCAGCACGATCCAATGCAGATATTTACATTGTGAAATGCAGTTCTTTGTGCGATGGACTCCAGTGAACACATCGGCTGCCACAGCGCCTTCTCCTCTGCACTGTGGTGTTGCAAAGGAAAAACTCATAGCAAGTAGATTGCAAGTTTAATTTCTGTTTGACGGCAGTTGGTAAAGGATTAATTCATGTTTCTTGAGCTTTCTCATTTCTCAAAATGATGGTTTTTTAATATCCTCATACATTCTTCCTGTTGGATTACCTCACACACAGACTTGCCCAAGATTTTCAAATACTCTTTGGGGAACACATTCTCAGAAGGTGACAAGTAGATAAAGAGGACATAAGTTAGAGAATAAAAATGAATTTCAGAAGGCACCCACACTCTGAAAATTCAGCTCCCCTTAGGGTGTCTAAAACTGAACAGCTGCACTGTCCAACAGTACAAAATCACATCTGAAAAAGAAAAATCTCAGTCTTGTTTGAAACTGGAGAAGCCCTGACATCAGGGGGTCCTTTTCCTACCAGCCCCCAGGAGCGCCCGACCAGCCAGGCAACAGCATCCCAGGGGATAACGCCTCAACTTCATTAACCATTTCGGAAAATGTTTACGCTGACATTTGGCTCCCCAGCACAGGGCTTGGCTGGTGAAGAACCAGCCAACACAACGAAGAGATCAGCGGGTCCATCGGAACTCAGAAAATCAGTGGGTGAAGGAATTTGGCAGGGGGAATCCTCAGCTGCCCCTGAGGAGATAAGCAGGGAGCAGAGTGCTCCAGGAGAGTGAAGGGAACATGCCAGAGGGACAGCAGAGCTAAGCAGGTAAGACTTGATGTGCAAAACACTCTGCAGGGAAAAAAGGCTTACCTGTCCTCCTCTCCCTTCAGAAAATCAGCATGGAAAACAGGAGGCTTTTCATCAAAAGACACATTAGGAATACTGAAACAGTCACAACTGGGCTTTGACCCTCCTCCCTCTCTCTTTTCACTTGCACAGCTTTCCCACACCAAATGAAGCAAGATGAGTGATGACCGGAATTTTGGGGGGTTTCCTTCAGTCTGCACACATACTTTTTCATTTTCCTTTCCTTCTTTCATTTTTGCCAGTTGAGAACTTCTCAAATCCCTTTCACCTTTGGAAAACGCATGGGGTAGCACGACAAGGAAAAGGAAAAAGGAAAAAAAAAACCCTGTAATTTAATCACTTTGTACCTTTTCCAAAGGTGAAAATGTTTGAAAGGAGAAAAAGGGAGAGTTTGATTCTGGCCTTAGCTGTTCTGTAACTCTAATTTTTCAGAAGTCTCTTAAGAACATTAAAAGGGAAAAACAACCCTGGTACAACCTTCAGTGAACTGCAAACTGCAACAAAGGGGGATGAAAAAGGATGACAAAGGAGAAATAAAAGAGAAGACTGGAAGAGATTTCTTAAAGACTTTCCAATTTCTAAACATTTAACTGACAACGATACGCTCTCTAAAACTGCTCCTCTACATTTCCACGCAGGGTGCTGTAGCCAAGGACAGGGTGCCCAGGTAGCATGAAGAAACAGCCACACATAAGCCCTTCTGTGGATTTTTTAGTTTGATCTGACCAAGGGAAGGCTGCGTCTAACTCTGAATTTGATGTGGCATACATAGAGAAGCGGGGAGAGAATACTGCTGATGGGTTAATATGACACACGTATTTACAGGTTTCCCCTCCAGCTGCAATGTGTTCAGAGGAAGCAGACAAGAAGCCAAAAGGTGGAGAGAACCAGACCCTACAACTGGTGCATACTGGCACCAGTACTTACCGTGGCAGGGACCCCATCAAGCTGTCGTGCTCCATGATTTGACACCAGGATACCATTTACTCCAATCTTTACAGCTTCTTTAGCATCATCAGCTAGAAAAAAACCCAAACAAACAGACAAGATATGCCCTTCCATAACTAGGAGCTTATTGACACCATGATGAGGGATATTTTGGCATCACTAAAAAAACATTGCCAGCTAATGCAAAGTCACCTTAAGGCTTCGTCCTGCCAAAGCCCCATCTCAACACAGAAAACTGTTTTATCTTTAAGCAATAAAACCAGAGAAGTAATTCAAAATGTTGGAGCAGAGCATTTTACCATATTGAATTAGCAGCCACTGTGGTTGCTAGCCTTTATTTTCTCTACTACGTCCCACAACTCATCACTAAGAAATTGTTCTGCTAAATTATTTTCTCCAAGCCAAAATTATCAGCCTGATTACAGTAATAATCGATACTTAATGAAACCACTTCACTGTGCTCGGTGCTCTTCGGACAGAATGGAAATCAGAAAGCCAACCGTATCCTGGGCTGCATGAGGAGAAGTGTGGCCAGCAGGTCAAGGGATTCTGCCTCTCTACTCTGCTCTTGTAGACCCCACCAGGAGTGCTGCGTCCAGCTGTGGAACTCTTAACATCGGAAGGATATAGACCGGTTGGAGCAATTCCAGAGGAGGCCACGGAGATGCTCAGAGGGCTAGAGCCCCTCTGCTATGGGGCCAGGATGGGAGAGTTGGGCTTGTTCAGACTGGCGAAGAGAAGGCTCCGGGGAG